ACATGGTACTTGGATGCCATCACCTTGTTTAAAAGCACCGTGTTGGAGGGGAAAAGCTGAAATTAGATGGCATATTCCCTAGATTAAGGTTTGTTTTTCCAGTAAGTGCTGAAAAATTTGACCTGATCTGGCCATCTGCTCAGTTTCCCTTTGACCAGTGGCATCATTTCAGCAGATGGCCAGCCAGTCAGTGGCCTTGGTCGGCCACCAGATCCATAAGCTTTCGTGCTTAAGCTCCCATTTTCAGATGGCAACTGTCAGAGGGGTCCCTGGCAGGGACGATGTCCAGCTCTCGCCTTCCAGGGGGCTAGGAGGACAAACGGGTTATGCGTAGCAGCGCTGAGCACAGTGCCTGGCACAGAGGAGCCCCTCAGGAGTGGCAGCAGCTGGTCGCTCTTCCTGCTGTTCCGGACCTTGATATTTGATGTGGCTTCCGGTTCCCTGCCTGTCACCTAGGATGAGGCATTGTCTGTCAGATGCTCAGATACCTGACCCAGGATACAAGAACATAGCTTTTGCAGCTGGCTGGGCCCACAGGCTGGCTCTTGCGCTGTATAGAGTACACACTAGCCCTTGGCACCTTGCCCGCATCCACCCGAATGCCGTTGGGTATTCTTGGGCCAGTCAGAAGAGCTGGGGCAGGTCATTGCTGCGAGCTCGAGCCCAGCTGACCGCTCGAGGGCAGGGAGGGAGGGAGGGCCAGGTCCTGCTCTGACTCTCCATGAGCCCTCTCTGGGCCCTCAGCTCTGCCATCCATGCCTGGTAGGCAGCAGAGAAACAGATGGTTCCATTTATTTCTAAACAAGCCTCTCCGGAGGAGAAATTTGCACCAACAGCCTGTGAAGGGTATCCTTGTTAAAAAAAAAAATACCTGTGAAAGTAAAAATGAACGTCTCACCCTTTACATGAGCCCCCCCTGGCGACTTGATCCACCCCTTCATTTGCTGCAAACCCTGTGCTTCTAGAGGGAAGCAGAGCCAACTGTTGGCAAGGAGCACACGGTCTAGTTGGGGAGGGGGCAGGGTTGAGGAAGAGGTAACGGGAGGAGGCAGGAGCTGTATGCTAGGCACCATGCCAGGCACTTCCCATACAGTGCACTTGTCAGCTGATTTTCACAGTCCACATCCTTTCTGCCTCTGGACCTTTGTACAGCCCGTGTCCTCTGCCCGGCACATTCTCCCTTTTCCCCCCTCCTCACCCCATCAACTCTGCTGGACACTGGTCTCAACTTCAGCCCAGACACCTCCTCTGAGAAGTCCTCTCTGACCCCAAGGCTGGTTTCGGAGCCCTTCTTAGGGGCTGTCGCAGTGAGCTGTTGCTGCAAACAAGCCATCCTAAAACTTAGTGACTTAAAACAACACCATCTGAGATTGATCTCGGGTGGGTCTGCAGATCACTGAGTTCAGCGAGGTGGTTCTCACTCAGAGTCCCTCCTGCCGCTGCAGCCAGACGGTGGCTGGGACTTACTTGAGGGACCTGAGGGTCGGTCGCTCCCGGGTCTGGTGCTTGAGCTGCCATCATGGAGACGTTCAGGGGCTGGGGCTCCGTGAGCAGCCCTTTGTAGCTCTGTGTGGTCTCATCGTGCAGTCTGCCCAGCACAAAGCCTCAAGACAGCCAGCCTCCTTACACAGAGGCCAAGGAACACAGGCACGTGTCCTGAGAGAGAGCCGAGCAGAAGCCCTATCCTGTTCCAGTATTGAATCTCATTTTCCCCATATTCTTTTCTCTGAGGCCTTCACATCTGGGTGACTCTCTGACTCCAGAGTTGCTTCTCAGGGCTGCAGGAATCCAAAGGAAAGGCAATGAGAGCATGAGCACAGAGCCATCCAAGGAGGGCTGCTGGAGGAGGTGGTATTGAGGCTGGGCCTTGAAAGAGGGCTAGGATTTGCATGGGGCAAAGGGCAAAGGGCAAAGGGAGGAGGCAACACAATAGAACCAGCTGCTGCCAGCCAAGGGGGAGGGGGTAGAGCTGTGATGAGGCTGTGGGGTAAGGGGGTGGGCGGGTCAGCCAGGACTGTGCCAGGGAAGGGGGTGGAGGAAAGAAGTCCGGAGAGCGAGTCCCCATCCGAGGTGGGAAAAGAGTCAAGGGATCTTTGCCCCTCAGGGCTATTTGTCACTCCTAACTTCTAAGTTAATTTAATTTTTTTTAAGATTTTATTTATTTGAGAGAGAGAGAGAGAGAGCACAAGCAGGGGGAGTGGGAGAGGGAGAAGCAGACTCCCCACCGAGCAGGGAGCCCAACACGGGGCTCCATCCCAGGACCCTGGGATCATCACCTGAGCTGAAGGTAGAGCCTTAACCGACTTCTAAGTTAATTTTAGTCATAATGGTCAATAATTAGCGTTTGCATCCTGACACAGTTGCCTTGAGGTCACCATCCATGATCCGCATATTTCACATCTCATCACATGTCATTTTGGAAGACCTCTTCTGGATTCCCGTAGCTTTTCCATTCCACAGACTGAGCCAGTTCCCATGGCTCCCACAGCCTCCTCTTAGAATTCTTCTCTTTCAGTTAGCCAGTCAAATGAGTTACCATTTACCTTCCCTCCCTGGCCTCCTTACCTTCTCATCCACCAAAGGGAAGGTGCAATTTCTTGGGTATTGGAAGGGTCATCTCCCTGTGAGGTGCGTTAGGGCAGCCGTGGCCATTGCGTGGGGGCCCCCTCGTGCCTGGAGCAGCTCGAGTCTGATGCTGACTACCTGGCATTAGGTCAAGCTTCCCTAGGCTTGGGCACCTACTACTAGACTGTTCTTTTTTTTTTTTTCTTTTTAAGATTTTGTTTATTTAGTTGAGAGAGAGAGAGAGCATGAGCATGGGGAGGGGCAGAGGCAGAGGGAGAGGCAGACTCCCCGCTGAGCAGGGAGCTGGATGCAGGGCTCTATCCCAGGACCCTGGGATCATGACCTGAGCCGAAGGCAGACGCTCAACCGACTGAGCCACCCAGGTGCCCTTAGACTGCTCTTATTATAAATATATGGCTCATGTATCCACATCATCTCATTAGAATTATGCATAGTGTTGTTACGGTTATTCCCACTGTGCTGAGGAAGCCACGCCCAGGACCACTTAGCTAGTAAGAGGTGGATCCAGAGCTAGAACCCAGTTTTTCTGATGGTGGGATCTTGGCTCCTTCTGCATCTTGCTACCATCAGAGGTGTTTTTTCAAGGAGCCTGGCACTACCATTGTTGCATCTGTCCATTCATTCATTTACTCGGCGCCTCCTCCGTGCTTGATACGCTTGTGAAGCCCTAGCAGGTGTTGGAGCATCTCCGAGTTACAGTCAGAGGTAATGTGTGAGTGCTCGAGACTTTGCCTGCAGAACATCTGTCCCTGGAGAACTTTGCTCGCTCGTCCCTCCAACCTCAGGGCAGTGTAATCTGTGACATAAATCCAAAGGCTCTTCGTCTTTCCGCAGATGTATTTCTCCTCTATGTCATTACATTTCCATAATCCAGCCTTCTTTGCAGGAAGGGAATTCTAGTGTACTGGGCAGCCTTGAAGAGAAGTGCATTTGTTGTGAACATGTTTTTCCCTTTATATTAGTTTTTTTTTTTTTTAACTAAACCTGTAAACTTGTGTCATTGGGAATCAGCAGCATTCTCTTGCTACCATCCTGAACAGACTAACATAAAGCTAGTCCTGTCATAAGATGCTGTTTGATATTGCAATTTTATTTTTCCTTTTGATTGAAAAAGACATCTTTTTCTTTTTTTTTTAATTTTTTATTGTTATGTTAATCACCATATATTACATAATTTGTTTTGGTGTAGTGCTCCATGATTCATTGTTTGTTCATAACACCCAGTGCTCCATGCAGAACGTACCCTCTTTAATACCCATCACCAGGCTGACCCATCCCCCTACCCTCCTCCCCTCTAGAACCCTCAGTTTGTTTTTCAGAGTCCATCATCTCTCCTGGTTCATATCCCCCTCTGACTTACTCCCCTTCATTCTTCCTCTCCTGCTATCTTCTTCTTTTTCTTTTTTCTTAAAATATGTTGCGTTATTTGTTTCAGAAGTACAGATCTGTGATTCAACAGTCTGGCACAATTCACAGCACTCACCATAGCACATACCCTCCTCCCCAATGTCTATCACCCAGCCAGCCCATCCCTCCCATCCCCCACCACTCCAGCAACCCTCAGTTTGTTCCTGAGATTAAGAATTCCTCATATCAGTGAGGTAATATGATACATGTCTTTCTCTGATTGACTTATTTCACTCAGCATAACACCCTCCAGTTCCATCCACGTCGTTGCAAATGGCAAGATCTCATTCCTTTTGATGACTGCATAATATTCCATTGTGTATATATACCACATCTTCTTTATCCATTCATCTGTCGATGGGCATCTTGGCTCTTTCCACAGTTTGGCTATTGTGGACATTGCTGCTATAAACATTGGGGTGCACATACCCCTTCGGGTCCCTACATTTGTATCTTTGGGGTAAATACCCAGTAGTGCAATTGCTGGATCGAATGGTAGCTCTAATTTCAACTGTTTGAGGAACCTCCATACTGTTTTCCAGAGTGGCTGCACCAGCGTGCATTCCCACCAACAGTGTAGGAGGGTTCCCCTTTCTCCACATCCCCGCCAACATCTGTCGTTCCCTGACTTGTTAATTTTAGCCATTCTGACGGGTGTGAGGTGGTATCTCATGGAGGTTTTGATTTGGATTTCCCTGATGCCGAGCGATGTTGAGCACTTTTTCATGTGCCTGTTGGCCATTTGGATGTCTTCTTTGGAAAAATGTCTGTTCATGAAAAGACATCTTTTTCTATTTCTCTTTCTGATTTGTAATGGTTTTGCAAACAAATGTACCAAGATAAGGAAAGGAAAAATCCACATCACTGTGGTGCTTCATAATGGGGATAACGTTATGCTTTTTAAGGTTATACCTAAAAGAAGTGAAGTGATTTCCAAGGAGACTGAGCACCATTTTCCTCTGCTTATGGAAATCTCTCACAGTCCTCTTTCCGCTTTCCCTTCTCAGGCCCAGCACACCCACGATGCCATCACAGAGGCCGCCCAGCTCATGAAGGAGGCTGTCGATGACATCATGGTGACACTGAATGAAGCTGCCAGTGAAGTGGGGCTGGTGGGAGGCATGGTCGACGCCATTGCAGAGGCCATGAGCAAGGTAGACCTGGGCTCCCAGGTGCTCACCTTCACCCCTTGACCCCCATTCCTCCTCGGTTTCCCTCAGATGTGGTCCCTAGGTGCTTTTTCTAAGGAGCGGTCAGCCACAGCGGATACCAGTGACCCTCCTCTTTTCCTGAGGGTTCTGATCAATGTACACACATCCTCTCCTCGGTCCAACATGTTACTCATTCTTGATTCTTCATTCATTACTTTTGGAAGCCACTCTCACCCTGTCTTCCAGTTTTACACAGGGGAAAAATAATGGAGATGGAGAAAGTATCATTGGTTCCTTCACTTATAAAATGGAAATAGGTATTTACCTCCCTTGTTTACCTCCTAGAGTTGTCGTGGGAAACAAGAAGGGATTCCCAAGGGCTGGTCTTCGGAATGGCTACTTTGGAATCATGGGGAGCACATTCCTAGGCCCTACCCCATCCCCAATGAATTGAAATCTCTATGGAGTTGAGCTAAGGAATCTCTGTATTTGTTTTTTTAAGACTTTATTTATTTGACAGAGACAGAGAGAGCACAAACAGGGGGAGTGGCAGGGAGAGGGAGAAGCAGGCTTCCCACGGAGCAGGGAGCCCGATGCGGGACTCGATCCCAGGACCCCAGGATCATGACCTGAGCCAAAAGTAGACGCTTAACCGACTGAGCCACCCAGGCGTCCCAGGAATCTCTGGATCTTTTAAATCTCCCCACAGTTTTGGTAACCAGATGCAGAAACCACTTAAGTAGTATGTATGAAAGCCCATAGTGAACTCTTGCAGGCAACAGGCATAGAAGATAACGTGACAATCATTTCTCCTCTAGTGACTCCTTGGTTGAGTTGGATCAGTAGGGAAGTGTGACTGGAGAGTATCTCCTGCTCTTTCCTCAAGGAATCCTTCGCTAGTCATGTCAGTTTGATAGTCGTTAAAATTAACAGTTGTTCATCAACATCTAATTTTCATTCTGTGATAGCATAGCCAAGAATTTTAGATTTTTGTCCATGTTTTGAAACGTCCATTGTCAGATTGTGAATACGTTATTATGGTTTTTCAGGGTAATAAGTGGTCTTTAATTGCTAATTTAGAGAAGATTGGTTGGTTCGTATCTCCATAAAGAGGTGATAGCCTGAAACTATAATTAGGTTAATTTCCCTTAAACATTCATTAGGCAGTCATTACCAGACTGAGAGAGGCATGAGCTGGGCGGGGATGCCAGGACTGCTTTAGACACCCCAGATGTGCCTTGTCGGATCACTCTAGTTAATTTCTGCTATGGGCTTCTCGTGCCTCACATATGGACAGTTTGGCAGAAAATGAGTGAAATTCCCCCTCTTTCTAAAGCCTTTGGGGAAGTCTCCGTGGGTGTATTTGGTTTTCAGGACATCGGAACACCCAGGCTTTGAAAGGAAGCCATGTTTGTACCAAGGATATTAAATAATGGAGCTCCAGTTTTCTCAATACAAGTTAGAAATTCAAATGATAACCTTCTTCTTCCTAGGAGAAGGTATTTTTCCAAATGACTCTAATGATAGGAAAGAGTTCCATAAATCTCTGGAATATGGAAGTCAGATTCTTGAAGCCTTTTTTTGATAGCCACTGAGGCTTGCATATCGAGGTGGATTTTCAGTAAAGAAAGCAGCTCTTGTACTGTCTGATGTCAGTGGCTTGGCCGCTGCTCTCCCACTCAGCCCAGGACTCTCTTGACTCTTTTGGAAGGGCTGGGAGAGAAGTCTGGCATTACCTGATAGCAATAGTTAGGAATTGCTAGCAACAGGAACCACAGAGGCCAGGAAAAAGGGTTCTTTCCTCCATTCTGCAGAGTATACAGTCGGGGTTTTGTTGGTACCCCTAAACTCCTGTCTACCCAGACCTGACACCCAAGGTTCTACCCAGGGCCTCTTTAGCATCCTGCCCTTGTTCAGTCTACCCAACCTGCCCATTGCTGTGCACTTTGTATTAAGGGATATTCCACGGCCTTTGAGCCCCTAAGCAGGAAAGAGTTAGAAATAGGGCGTTTTCTGAGTTTCAGTTATTCGGTTACAACAAAAAAGGGGGGAAGGCTGTAATCTCAGAACAAAGGAAAGTTCTTTGAACTAAAGAAATTTGAGATCCATCCAAAAAAATTGACCGCTTTGTTCTTCCCTTTCTCATTGTCTTCGGACGGGCAGGTTGTGTTCTAAGCTGCCCTCCGGCTCCTGGTGTGTTTGCAGTTAGGCCATAGTTCATATGAAGTCTCCCGGCACATTGCTGGACCCAGTCAGTTTACACCAAGTGAATGAGTCCACAACTCAGTCCTCATTTGACCAGCAGGACCCCCATAGTGTGATGGAGATCATTGGCAGCAGCTATATCCCTGATAAAGAAACCCAGAAAAATCTAGCCTGGAGTCTGTGTTGATGCTTTGATGGAAATTGCATTCCCAAACTGTGCAGCCACATCACACATAGGCTGCAAAGAGATGTTCCTTCGGTTCAGATTGTAGTTAGTGCCAGCTTGGGACATGGAGCTCGTATTGAAGACCCCATCTAACGTTTCCTAAGTGCCCTCTTGGCCCCTAGTCTCTGCCCCGACTGCAAACCATCTGGCAGAGACCTGCCGGGAAGGTCTCCTCGAATATGTTGTTGTGTACCCCAGATCCCACCATTTTCCTCATGATTTCAAGGTTCCTCATCAGACAGCTCAGTCTCATTCCCACTGCTCTCAACAGCCCCCTCTTGCGTTCACTATATTCACTCTTCCTGTATTCATTTCTCCTTATTTTGTCTCCTCACCTGGAATACCATTCAGCAGTCAGTGGTGACAGTAGTGATAACGATGATGGTGAAGATGTTGCCTTTTTCTTCATCATGGTCATCATTGACATTATCATCATTTTCTTCATCATCCTGGTCATCATCTCCTCTTCTTTCACGTAGCTCTTGGCCAGGTATGGTCTCAGTTGATGTGTACTCCAACCTTCCGATGCTAAGAAGTTTCCAATGAAGGACCCGAGACTCGGAATTTAAGCAACCAGCTTGAGGCCCATTCATAAGCCCTGGAACCAGGCCTCAAATATAAGTCTTCTGAACCAGTATGTCCCCAGCCCTTCGAGGGACAGAGCCACTGTCCCACTGGCCCCAGCTCTTCCCCCAACAGTGATCTCTCCCATCTCTCAATTCCTACTGCTCTCAGAGTCAGATGAGCAACAAATTATTCCCTAGTGCTTCCAGTCCCTTGTCTTCCCCAACTTATTTCAGAAGCAAGGGTTCCAGGGTATAGACCTCTGTGGACTGCACCATTCCTAGGGAAGCCCTTCACGATGTAGATTCCGCCTCCTTTCCCAGTTCATCTTCTGCCATTCTGTACTCCCCTAGAAGTGTCTGGCCCATGCCCACCGCCATATGCTTGAACTCTAATCCACTTCTTGGGACCCCTACCCTACCTTTTGTATGTAGCGAACTATTCCCCTGGTAAGACCTGGCAGAAATGTCATTCCTCTGGAATGCCCTCCGTCTCCTCTCCGACAAGGCTTGGGACCCCCTTGCCTGTGTACCCCGAGTGCTGTCTTTGCACCTCTGTTAAAGTCCTTATCACCGAAGCTGGGGGATGCTGTTGACTCTCAACCGAAGAAATTCTGTGGGCGTCTCCATTTTTCAAAGTTCCCGATTCTAATAAATACAGTCCACACTTCAACTGTCCTCTCCTGACATGTGGGTTCTTTTTCTCTCCTTTTTAGCTGGATGAAGGCACTCCTCCAGAACCAAAGGGAACATTTGTCGACTATCAGACAACTGTGGTTAAATATTCCAAAGCCATTGCGGTGACAGCTCAGGAAATGGTAAGAGGAAAAGAGCTGCCCCACCCACTGTCGGTTGCCCTGGTGTCCACCACTGCCACCACCGAGTCTTCAAATCGGGGTCTGTGTTGGACAGAGACTCCCTGGTGTTTCTAGTTCCTTCTGGGCCCCAGCTCTGTCCTTTATCTGTGGTCTCTCTGGCTGCCTGTGGCCTAGACACCCCCATCCACTGGAGCTCTTGTTTCATGGAAAAGCTGCAAGAGGGAATTACAGATAATTGAGACTTGGGAATGAGGACAGGGGAGCAAAGGAGGGAGAGAAAATGAGAAGGAAGTTGGAGGTAAGGGGAAGGAAAAAAAATCCTTCACCTCGCAAAGGATTTGAGGTGTTTTTATAAAGTTACAGTACAAGAGACGACGTGTGGGGTGGAATAGAGATTGTCTAACGGAATCCAGTTACAGTCCTTCCTTGGACAGAAAGATATGCCAGTCTTTCAGGCAAAATGAAACAGCATGGATATATAGAGACAATTTCCGTGACAACAGAAGGCATGTAACCTTTGGAGGTAATTTTCAAGTTTTCTTTCTTTCTTTCTTTCTTTTTCTTTCTTTCTTTCTTTCTTTCTTTTTCTTTTCTTTTCTTTTCTTTTCTTTTCTTTTCTTCTTTCTTTCTTTCTTTCTTTCTTTCTTTCTTTCTTTCTTTCTCTAAGATGTATTGCCATCAGAATTGTATTACATGCATCTTTAGATAAAAATGGCATTGAGAGACAGAGAATGCTATCCTGATAAGTTAAAAAGTTGTACAAGAGATGACAAAGGGTGTCCTCAAAGAATAAATAGGGGTGTGTCATAAGAAAGTTCCTCTTAACCTTCGAAGGCTCAGATGACACGGAGTAAAATTTGGGAAGATGCCTCTCTGCTGCTGCCACATGAGGCTGTTGAGAGTTGAAGCAGCCCCCCAGCTGGAGGGACGAACTGAGCCATGGCGCCGTTCCTGCCCCCACCCCAGGCCGGCACCTCGGGGTGATTCTGTTATGTAGTCTTGTGTCCACTAGAGGTTGAGCTTGGACCACAAAGGCTTCCCTGGCCCCTGCTCTTTCTTAGAAACTCAGTGATTGTGCCAGGTTCGTGGTTGCTTAAAAGGACTTGGGCCAGGAAGGGGAATAGCAGCAGTGCCCATCTCAGGGACCAAAAGAGCTGCAGTCAGGCCCCAGCTGGTTCTGCTCCGGGGGGGTCCAGGGTAGGGCGCAGGTCCGATCAGGCAGCCCCACCGTGCCAAGTCCTCTGAGCAGGGAGCACAGCGCCGCAGGAGGTGAAAATATTTGGAGTGGCCTCCTCGTGTTTCTGGAGTATCTCCTGGGCTAGATTCTCAGCAGGCCCATCTTAAGCCTTGATGCCCATGCTCTTCAGGAGCCCAGCCGGGGGCTGCACGGCTGCTGCTAGGTTACCTGGCCTGGGCCCTGAGTGGGCAAGGGTCCCGCTTCGCCACGTCAGGTTGCCCCAGAATCACTGTGCTCTGCGTGGTAGGGCTCAAACGAAGCAGCGCTAGGTGCAGCCTCCCTCTCTTGGGGTTCAGCGTGGGTTCCTTGGGAACCCACGCCTACACCTGAAAGCCTGTGACATTTCCTGGTAAATGTGCCTTAGACGACTACACATTCCCATCCAGCCTCTGTGAATATGGAGCCATTTAAAACATTTTTTTTTTAAGCCCTTTAAAGTCAAGGTCTTCTCATGCCCCTGAGAGTGAGAAGAGGTGCGGTGGGAGGGACCCTCTTAGGAGGGACAAGGACACCTTTCTGGGCGGCACTTAAAGCTGCTGTTCAGAGCACTAAGAGGCGTTTTGTCGGAGGACAAAGAAAATCTAGAAACTGGTGTGTTAGCTAGGTAGGATAAATTTAGGTAAGTTTTTCTATGATGCAGGCAGAAAATACTGAACATCCTAATAAGGAAAAGGTAGAGCTCAACCATTTAGGCTACAGTGGACTATTAGCCAAATTTGTGGCTGAACCCTTGTCATCCTTTGGCACAAATTGATTATAAAGCTGTATTCTCTTTGACTATCTTCCTCCCAGATATTGGGGTCACCTATCACTTCTCAGTCATGATTTCCCTAACAGCCCTGTCCTCATGCCCTCTTGCCAGGGTGGGACCTGCTTCTGGGTTCCCAGAGACCAGGTCAGCAGCAGAATGTGACCGGGGATGGACACTGCCTGAGGCCCGTGCCCCGTGCATTCCCCAAGGGAAATCTCACGGTGACCCGCGGGGCCGGGCCGGCTGGGGCTGCCACGCTCCCCTCCCAGAGTGGGCTGTGAGGGCCTGCCCAGCCTGAGCCTAGCATGTCGCCCACTGGCCCCGCCGGGACCTGCTGGCCTGAGAGGGGCCTTGGCCTGTTGTGCACGTCGCAGCATGGGCTTTGCTTGAATTGCCCTCTCCAGCCCCAAATGCAAGTCCGGAGCTTAAAAGTGAATGAAACCCTTTGGCTTCCAATGGTATTAACACATGGTTCTCATGCTTTTTTCCGTGTGTGTGTGTGTGTGTGTGTGTGTGTGTGTGTGTGTGTGTATGTCTTGCTTGTTTTCTTTTTCCAGATGACTAAGTCGGTTACTAACCCGGAGGAGTTGGGAGGACTGGCTTCACAAATGACCAGTGACTATGGGCACCTGGCTCTCCAGGGCCAGATGGCAGCAGCCACAGCGGAGCCAGAGGAGGTCTGCCACCATAAGCCCCTGTTCTCAGATGCACATGCACACTGGTACCCACTCCCGGGGGGTTCTTGATAGCTTAGCTCCCCCCTAGAAGTTTCCAGCCTGATAAGTTCTCACCACTCTCCCCGCCAGCCCCCCAGGTACAGACCCGGTGGCCCCGGGCTGTGCTCAGAGCCCACTGTCCTTTCTGAGGCCCGCAGGTGGAGAGCTGGGTCCACCTGGGGAAGTGGGCTTCCAGGCAGACGCCCTCTGTTGAGAGTGTCCGGCCAGGTCACCTGTCTCCCAGCCCATTGCCCGGCTCCCAGAGCACAACACACACTGCCGTCTTCCTCTTGCTTAGTGCATCCTCCTCAGGGATTTTTCTGTTCTCCAAAGGCTCCCAGCAGTATTGGAAGAGCCAAGTGTGGGAATTAACTGCCCCCATCTGAGAAAGGGCTGGGTAGCCTACTTTTGTGACACAAAGTCTTACCCAACTATTGTGGGTAACTTTCTACGAACCATCCCCCATATCTTCTTTGGACTCCTCTTCATTACCTACCTGCCTTCCCTAAACTCGCTTTCCTTAGTGGCCAAACACAGACTTTGCCTCAGAATGCCTACACCCGTAAGAGTCTTAATTTAGCCAAAGTTTGGTCCCAGAGGCCCCTTTCTAAGAGCCCCCTTTCCTGTCTGCTACACCTGAGTAATCAAGTGATCCCCTGGGAAGCAAGCGGGCTGGCTGGAGTGGCACATGCCCGATCGCATCCATGCCAATGTTAGCACACAGAAGGTGCCCTGTGCCCAGCTACCGCGTGGCTCCTTGGAGACACAGAGCTCCGTCTGGAATAAAGAATAGTAGAGTAGATTGCAGGGACGCTGGGAAGATGAAGGTGACTGCATTCTGTGACATTCAGCGGGCCATGTATCAAGCACAAATCCTGTTGATGATATTGATGATAAATGAAGCAGGCCATCCCAGGGCGGATGGCTGTGACGGATCTTCCCTTCTCCTTGAAGTGACAGTCCGTGTCCCCAGGCCCCTTAATGCCGTGTCTGCCGGGAGTCCATTCGAAACATGTCTTCACAAAGACTCCCAGAGATGATGCAGAAATGACCCAAAACAAAATCCCTTGCTAACATATGTCATAACAACGCATGTAAACAGAAGTTTCATATGTGTGCATTTGCATACATATATATCTAGCATGGGATGACGTAGGTTTCTAACAGTGCCTGCACTTTGAGATTTTAGTATGGTTGAGTATTTACGCTGCAGCATGAATAATTCTGTTTGTAATGAGTCTGTGAAGTCACTACCCAGAAAAAAAAAATCATCAGAACCCCCCCCCCCCCCACCCCCAGCCCCAATCAGGATTCTGTGTAATGTTGAATTTCCTCAACAAGCCTAAGGGAACTTACGTTACAGGAGCATCTGGACAAAAGGAAGAAGTGTTAGGCTTTGCGGGACGGAAAAACAAAGAGGCTGTGGGGAGGGTTTGGATCTCTGTTTCCAGAAATCTTTAAAAAATGGAATCTAGATCCATCAGGTCAGTTCAGACGTTGACTGGTCTGAGTTACTGAGTGAAGAGCCCATGATCTGTGGAGACTTTTCCACATCTGAGTTCTTAGAGCTCCCCAGCCCATGTGTGCAACAAGTAGATTTTCTTCCCGCAACCCAGACCATGAAGCAAAATACAAAATAATGTCAGAGCAGCCAGGAAAGGAAAGGTATCGCTGAAAGCCTCACACGAGATTACTTTAGTCCCTGGCCCCGTGTTTGTAGCAGCTGACGTTTTCATTAAGGTTCTCCCTTTACACCATTGCGTCTTGAGTTCTATTTTACATTCCAGACACAAGAGCACTGTGACCTGGAGCAAAAAGGGGCAGAGAGAATATACAATTACCAGTGGCTTGCTAAGGAAAATTCTTTGTGTGCGTTTGCCAGACAGATATTTAGGGGAAAACTGAGAAGGTTGGGGAGATCCCTAAAGCAATGTAGTTTTTTTATTCCAAGACTGTGGAATTAGTTTTCTCGCCAAGAGGGCCCCACATCACGGCATGTGAAAGTATTTCTATCCAGGGCAAGGAAGAAGCTGCTCCCTCGCTCCAGTCCTGCAGGCTGCCGTGCCGAGTCAGCGTTTTGGTCTTTTCCAGAATGTGACAATTACAGAAGCCCAAGGTCTGCCCTCTCTGAACACCAAGCAGGAGCTTTATCTGCTGCTTTTTTCAGGGAAAACTCAAACTCCCGTTAACACCACTATGAAAACTCCTTTTCTTCAGGAAAGTCAAAACCCTTAGGCAACTTCCCAATCAAAGACCCCTGTTCTCTTTAAAAAAAAAAAAAAAAAAGAAGAAGAAGAAGGAAGTGGAGATCCTGTGAGCCAGCAGTGCTACATAGAAATGCTGGTGGTGGGGGAGGGGAGACCTAGTGACCTACAGCTTTGTCTCCGAGGGAGCGCTGCCGCTACCGCGTGTAATACCGCGTGTCTTCAAAGCTGGTAGGAATATTTGTCGAGCGCCCGTGGCAAGAACCACAGCCTTTTCCCAAACATGAGATGGGTGCCTACAGTGGAATTCTCTAAAACTTTCCATTCTGAGACACACTTTCTGTAGGTGGAACATGATGCCCTGTTTCTGTTCTGTGCTCATGATGCTTTCCCTTCCATGGTTTGTTTGTTTTTTTTTTTTTTCTTTTTAAGGAGAAACTGTAAAGCCTGTCAGCCAATATCCCCTATTGCCTTTCAGCATTCACAAGCTTTCCCAGGCGAATGATGTTTGACCTGGTTTCAGATGTGATGGTTTTGAAAGCCTGAGAAAAATATGTACATTTTCTTTAGTTTTCGGCAGTAAAGAAGATGATCAGTATTTCTGAGACCCCCTCCAACTGAAATTTGATCCAAAACTTCATCAAGGCCAGACTTCCAATTTCCCCCAGGACGTAAAAGCAGGAGACAATGGCCATTTGGGCAGGAAGGGAATTGAGGGTTTTTCTTGACGTTCGAGTCATGCTTTATTGCAGTTGCCAATTTAAAACCCCAAGTTGAATGTCTGAGCAACATTCCTTTATAATACACCCTGGTTGGTGGTTAAGTCAGATCACCCTGGGGGCTGGTCAGATTTGCTGAGAAATTTAGTGTTACTTTGAGAAGTTAGCCTTTTTAAAGCCCTTATCTTTTTCAATACAGTCTTAAAAATGCATTCCCTCTCTTAGATGTTCCTCCAGCAGTGCAGAATGTTCTGGGAAATTGCAGTAAGAGTGTGTTGCTTCTCTTGTCCCCTTTAAATGCCTGCCTAGCTGTCCCAGGCACCCGTGGAAAAGAATAATCAGAGAGATGTTCATCAAGTCCACACCACGGATCATATCCGTGCTGGGGGCTGTCCCATGTACCCTCACAACTCCACAATCCTTGGTTCTTCCCCATTTCACAGGTTAGCAAATTGAGGCTCAGGGAACTTAGTTAATTGGTCCAAGAGCACACAGCTACAAGAGTCAGTGTGGAAGCTGCTTGAAATAACTTTTTGGAATAAGTGAAGTTTCAAGTAAGTAAAGAAGTAAACCTGGCAACGTCAGCATTCAAACCCAGGGCATCACAGCCTTTACTCCTTCCCCCTCCGCAACCTACCCCTTGTCACAGCGTTCACGTGGCATTTCCTACCTTGAGGTGTGTTCACACATACCTTTCATTTGCTCCATCAGCCCTGGGTAGTAGGGCCGGTTCTCTCCCATTTCGCAGGTGAGGGAACAAAGGCCCAGAAGGTTAGCTGGCTCACCCAGGGAGTTGGTGGCCAGGGAGGGGCTGGGCCAGAAGCAGAGTCCGTGGGCTTTCCTGCTGCCTGTGCTGCCCACAGGGGTGAGGAGCTGAAGGCAGGCCTGGGGCTGGCATCTTGAGATCCCTCCCCTTCCTATTGCATTCAGCCCTTTTAGCCTGTGAAAACAAGTGAAGCCTATTTCAACATGTCCTTCATGATACCCATCCTCCTGCATGCTGTCCAACTAGGACTGCGCAGCCTAGCATATAGGAGGATTGCGTGGCCAAACCTCAAGGAGGCCTCCGGGCACCAAGAAGGTAATCGTGTGACCTGGCATCGACCTGTGGCCAGGACCGAGCCCTGGGTTGGCCAAGAACCCCAAGGGTTCTGTGTAACTCTTGCCTTATCTTAGCCTTATCCGTTTGCTTTCTGGTGCTAGTCTTTGTCAGTGCTTCCTGCCTGGAGTCTCCTCCCTCATGACCACTGTCCCGGCTCTACAGTGCATTTGCAGGATCCTTCGCTGCATGCATGGTGTCCCCTCCAAGGAAGGGGCTGAGGACATTGGGGTGTTTTTCATAGCAGGGCCTCTCACAAGGGGGCTGAAGGAGCATGAGAGTGTCGTTGAGGATGTGTCACGTCTGCCCGTAGGTTTCAGGCTTGAGTCAGTGGAGGAGTAGGTCCCTTCACCCTCGCACCTCCAGGGCCATTTGGGAGTGACTTAAGAGGCTTGTGCTTGCCCCAGGGCCCACCATTGTGTGGACAGGAAGCTCAGGCGTGGTTCCGAGCAAGGAGCAGAAGTGGGACACGGAGCCTGGGCCTTCCTAGCACAGGTGTTTCCCACCTTACTCTTCTGAGCCCTGACCCAGGGAGGCACTTTGCAAGTTCTGCACGTTTGACTCAAGGCTCACTTTTTAAACATAATTGAACTATTTTTAAAACTCTTAGGAAAAACTGTGTGTGTTTTTGAATAAACTCTGGGCCGGGCCATGTGGTAACCCCCTGGGGGCCGCCAGCACCTTACCGTGGGCCGCTGGGTGGTTTCATGCAGACCTCAGGCTGATGCCGCTTCTCCCTGCTAGGGTTCGGGGCCTGCGGGAAAACCTGTACGCACATAACAGGAATTTTCTCAACACCGCAGCCCAAGCAAAATGCAGAAATGAGGCGGTGGCTGAGGCTGTATCAGGCTCCAGAATCTTTTTTTAAACTTCGATTAACTTAATCTCATTGTTGACTTTTTATTGAGTCAAGGACATAAATTTCAACTCATAAAGGAAGGGTATACTGGGCGCCTGGGTGGCTCCGTTGGTTAAGCGACTGCCTTCAGCTCAGGTCATGATCCTGGAGTCCTGGGATCGAGTCCCGCGTCGGGCTCCCTGCTCAGCAGGGAGTCTGCTTCTCCCTCTGACCCTCCCCCTCTCATCCTCTCATCCTCTCTCTCAAATAAATAAATAAAATCTTTAAAAAAAAAAAAAGAGGAAGGGTATACTAATAACACATTATATCAATTTTACTTGTTGAATTTCCAGGAGAGATTTGGTAGGCGGGGGTTGGGGGGTGCAGGGATGGTACCAATGCTAAGTGGGGAAAAAACGAAGTTAGTAAACACTGATCTGATGGGTAGAGCGACCTGGGTACTCATCTGGCTTTGCCAGACACTGGCTGTGTGATCTTGGGCCAGTCACATCACTTCTCTGAACCTGCACAGTCTCTTCATTTATCAACGGAGGGAGGTTGAACTAGTAAGGTCAGTTTTATTTTGAGATTCTGTTTCTTCTTCCATTTGCCCCCTACCTGGCTCTCCCAGCCATGCCTGTCACTTAGAGACCTGTGGTCATCCTTGACACAGAGCTCTCGCCTGTGGATTAGCTCTGACCTTCGAGTGTGTAGGGATCGGAAAAGGCTCAAGAGCCAGAATGAGTTTTCAGCTTTCATGGGGCATCCCCCAGCTTCAGCCGGGCCTTGTGTTTAAGCCAGTAGACCTGCCCAGCAAACAGCTACATTTTGGGTGTTTCCGCTGGGTGGTTGAACTGGAGTGCCTTTCCCCTCCTCAGTGGTAGACCTGTTTGCAGAGCTGCCAGCTTATAGGATCTTCATGTTGTATTCTACCTGGAGATGGTCCACAGGCAGCCCTCCCTGATTGTGAGGCTTTGGCAGCACCCCCAAAAGAGCCAAAGCTCTACCTTCTGGATCAGGAGAATTTTCTATTAAATGGATTTTTTTTCTTTTAAGATTTTATTTATTTGACAGAGAGAGGCTGAGAGCACAAGTAGGGGGAGAAGCAAGCTGGGACTCGATCCCAGGACCCTGGGATCATGACCTGAGCCGAAGGCAGACGCTTAACCAACGGAGCCACCCAGGCGCCCCTATTAAATGGATTTTAAATATCCTTTGGGCCTTAAAGGGATAAGGGAGTTACTTTTTTCCCTAAAAGCATGATGTGTTTCAATAATAGAGTTAACGTTTGCAGCCCCCTTCACTACCCCAATCCCCCCCTGCCTTGAACTCGACTAGGACAATGCTGGAAGATTGCACCCCGGTGGTCCAGATCTCCCAGCTTTTACTCAGGATACCTGAGATCTTAGTAGTTGTTCTTGGTAGATGCTGGAAGGAGAAGCCACAGCTTCTTGCTATCATGGTTGGAAATAACACTTATTAACTAAAGCTTAGGGTGTTTTGCTTTTAGTTGCTTACCTGGGCTGGAGGACAGATTGTTTATGGCAGCTGTATTGATCAGACCAAAATGAAAATTGATGTGAAACAGCCAGAGGAATGCAAACTTTGGGAGGCAGAATTTAATAGGCCTTAAAGAGACCGCTGACAACCTGTCCATCATGGAGCTCGTTTGGGTTCTTTTAGGCAAAATACCTTTTATAATCACACAAGTCAGGGGTCATTAAAAGAATGTGTGCCTGCTGAGCCTTTAGCTCTAAAAATGTACCTTTTTAAGGAAACCACAACCTGGCCAGCTAGAAAGGAAGCCTGGGCCCAGCAAGGTGGCTCTCACCAGGGGACACAGCTGAGGAAGGGGGTGTTCTGCTTATAAACAAACCTATTTTGCAAGAACCTGAATGCTTTATGCTTCTTATATATATTTTGAACTTATAATTACTCTCTAGAGCTGCCGTGCAGAATAAATGAAAGTAAATGCAGTCCCTTCTCAGGAGAGGCCCTGACACACAGCAGGAGCTCAATAAATGCATGAATGACTAATAATTACCACCACCACCCCCCCCCCCCCCCGAGTTCTTCTAACTAACATTTACATCAGGTGGCTAGGGATGCAAGTAAACAGTACACCAGAAAAGGTAGCAAATATCAGAAAGGCATTAGGCTAAGATGATGAGACACAGGCTTGCTTCCTGGGGACTGTGGGCATTTTACAGGCTCTAAAAAGGGAAGTAAAATTAACCAAATTCCATACTCCACCAAGCACAGACTCCTAACAGCAGTGGAATTTTCCTAGCCAGTCTCCCATAGGATGTAGAAGAAATTTTCCACATAGGGGAGCCCTCGATGGCAGAATCCATCATGCCTCTCCTTCCCCACCCCGGGCTTGCCTCCACAGATCGGCTTCCAGATTCGCACTCGCGTGCAGGACCTGGGCCATGGCTGCATCTTCCTGGTGCAGAAGGCAGGGGCCCTCCAGGTGTGCCCCACGGACAGCTACACCAAGAGGGAGCTCATCGAGTGTGCCCGCGCAGTCACAGAAAAGGTAAGGAGCAGCCCTCGGGCCCCACGCAGCCACAGTAACCTGCACTGGCCCTCAGTGGCCCACTGTGACTAGGGACATCAGCGGGAAGCTAAGCCAAAGACGATCCAGTCAGGGATTCGCCAGGGATGGGGTGATTCGTAGCCCTGAGACATTGAGAGGGATTGCCCCTCGGAAGTCAGGGCCCCCCACGGTGCCCTTTGTTGATGGGCTTTCCTAGAGACAGACCGGACAGACCGTAGCAAAGTCATATGAGCACCAGGAGCCCCTCCCTGCAACCCCTTTTGACACTCGTCTCCTGGGCTTCCTTCCCCGGGAGGCTCCCAGGTGCTGGGCACTGGGAAGGGCCTAAAACTCTCTTTGTGTGACCTCTTTCCTCCCGGAAGAGACCGTGAAGTGGGGAAGCATTGAGCACCCCGCCCGAAGTGGCCCAGCACCGTGGTCGCGAGAGCGGGAGCCCGCCAGAGGTGGAGAGAATCCCCTGTGTAGGGTAGTGCATGGGGCTCTGGGGTCTCGGCAAAGTGACCTCCCCCTCCCGAGCCTGCAGAATGAGCCTGGGGGAAAGACAATGCCGGGCCCATAGGGTTGGGAAACTGGAATGCGGTGGCGTGTGTAGAAGTGCTTGGCACAGGGCCAGACACACGGTTCCCCGTGGTCGACATCCTGGCCGTGGCTGTCTGTAAGCCGTCCTCCGAAGCTCTTCTCCCACAGGGGTCCCTGCTGGACAAAGCCCGTCCTCAGCGTCGCTTCGTTCCCGGTGCTCCCTTACACCCCCCACAGGATACTCGTCTCCTGTCTGGCTTGTTTCTCCGAATCCTTTTTCAGGACAGCTGTCCCCCAGGCCGCTCAAAGCGCAGGCTGAAGCATCGGCGCTTTGCTGGCTTTTCCCCTCCCTTCACTCAGGTCCCCAGGACATAGAGCTGTGCCCTGTTTAGGAGCTGGCAACAGAACTTGAGGGGCGGGCGGGGGACCCCTCACCTGGCAGCTGCCGCTGCAGAGGCCACTCTGTACCTGGCCCTGTGCCGAGGCCGAGCAGCGTCTGGCCGTGCCCTGCAGCCCACAGGCCTGCCCAGGCCTCCTTGGACTCCACGGGATGAGGCAATACATCTCTGAGCTGGAGGAAGGCATTCTCCCTCCTTTCAAAGCCCTTCCTTGTTGTCGAAGTTCCTCTGGCCAAGTTCCCCCGTCGAAGACCTTGGAACTGGTACCTGAAGGAGGGGCGGCGGGGGGCCAAGCTGCATGGCGTTGGCCAGTGGGGCCAAGCAACATGACCTTGCTGAGCTGTTCTCAGTCTCCCTCTTCTCCCGGCAGAGGGTCCCTGACTTAGGACACCTGGAGGAGGCTCAAAGGCAGGGAATCGGCTGTTCAGACTAAACTAGCCCTTTCAGTGCTTTCTTGCTCCATGTTCCTGCCTTGCCCTCTCTACCTGGTGTGTCTTTCTTACGTGGCCTGGTTGTGTCTGTAACTTCCCACCGGCTGTGAGCCCTTGACTTGCTCACCTTTGTGCCCTCATCCCCTGGGGACTAGTAGCCGCTCAATAAACTGCTGACTTGTGCGCCTTTTGTAGCAGGCGGGACACTGTTTCTGGACTCTCTCTCTTTCAGTCTAGCTGAGAACGTCCCTCCCAGACTTGGGATTCCTTGTCTTGGCCTTTGTCACCTGTCCTCTGGGAGTTCTTTCCAGAAACTGGCTACTTCATTCCCAGGCCAGCTCTGTGCCAGTCTGACTTCTCCTGGTGGGACATAGCAGCATTTAACTCCAGGAGGGAGGATCAGTCAAATGAGGAAGAGAAACCAATCCTTGTGGGCTAGTCTTGGGACGTGGCAGGTGCTCAGGAAGTGGACCCCCTGCCGTGCCTGCTAGGCTGTGTCCACCACCTCTGCTAAGATCTGAGCAGCACAGAAGGAAGAGAGCATACAAACTCTCTGCCCCTCACTGATGCTGTAACTCCTCGGTCCTGGTCAGTGTGTTTTTAAACAGCGCATTCACAGAATATTTTCAGACTCTTCTTTGGGTCAGCCATAGTCAAGGATGGTGGGTGTGCTCATAGAGATGAATAGGACAACTCCAGACAGTCTCCAGACTCAGAGTCTCCAGTTGCTAGCCAGATGCATGCTGTTTTAACCTGTGCTAAATGGGCTGTCCTGGGGGCGGGGACAGCAGCAACTGTGGAATCCTCAGGAGGCACAGCTATGGCTCTGGATGAGGACTTGGAGCTGGCTTTTGCAGGATGAGCCGGTTGGTAGCCGGAGAACAGGGAGGGGGCATTGCAGGCAGGGGGCAGATCCACTGCAGGAGGGCCAGGGGATGTCTGGGGAAGTGAGGGGCAGGCTGATGTGGCAAGATTATGTGGTGGGAGGCCAGAGAAGTTGAACTGGTTGTGCAAGGAGCTCATCCTCCCTTGACAGCAGGGGAGAATTGTACCTAAGGGTGTGGGGGAGTTAGCTTTGTGTTGTAGGAAAGTGTCTCTAGGAACAGTGGGGGTGTTCTGGAGGGGGTGATGGGTGGCAGCAAAGGGTTTCTGGCGTGGAAGTCACTGGAGTGAACAGAGCCAACTTGCTGGACTCTCGGGTCACTGGAATTATTACTTAGGGGCAGGTGATAGCGCAAGGGAGCGTTTGGGTGGAGAGGTGACATATGCAGGTACGCTGTGGGCTCTAGCCACAGTGGGGTCCACCCTAAAGCATGTCCAATCCAGAGGCAGCCAAGGGCAGGAATGATGAGTGTTAGCAGAAGCCTGTTCTACAGAAAACCTGATCAGAGGGGACAGAAATGGCCACACCTTTCACAGGAGCCTGAACTTGTCTCTGGTCCCAGAAACGTAATCCTATTAAAATTATCTGCTCTCTACTGATCAGTTACTATGTGCCATTGCTAGAGAATAGATATGCATCCCCCCCGCCCCCCCCATTCCTCCCAACAACCCTGATAGGCAAGAAATAATATCCCCATTTTACAGATGAGGAAACTAAGGTTGAACAGTTGCCCAAAGTCGTTTAGCCAGCAAATGATAATGCTGGTACTCAGCCTGAGATGTTGACACCAAAACATGTGTTAACCCATCAGCTGCATTGAGTCCCAGAGAGAAGATTCACTGTTCTTGTTTTTTACTTTTTCCCCTGGTTTTGAGATATAATTGGTACACAGTACTGCGGAAGTTGAGGGTGTACGGTATGATGGTTTGCCTTTCATGTATTATACATAAAGTGATCACAATAAGTTTGGTTAACATCCATCATCTTTTGTAGATACAAACTTAATATACTTGTTTCTGGTGATGAGAACTCTTAAGATTTACTCTTAACACTGCTGTGCGATATATACGAAAGTCTATTGTAGTCATCGTGTTGTACACTATCTCCCTAGTACTTATTTTGTAACTGGAAGTTTGTGCCTTTTAAGCACGTTTGTTCAATACACACCTTCCCTCCCACCAGAAAACTGATCCCTTTTGCTATAAGGTTGGTTGGTTGGTTGGGTTTTGTTTTGTTTTGTTTTTAATTTTTACTTGATGCATTCAAACAAAAAAATTCAGCCATTTCTCCTAACTCCCATCCCCCGCCTCTGGCAACTACCAGTCTGTTTTCTGTATCTACCAGCTTGGGTTTTTTGTTTTATTTTAGGTTCCACGTATAAGAGAGATCATATGGCATTTCCTTCTCTGACTGACTTCACTTAGCATAATGCACTTGAGGTCTATCCATGTAGTCACAAATGGCAAAATTTCATTCTTCTTATGGCCGAATAATATCCTCCTGGATAACATACACCGTATTTTCTTTACCCATTCATCCATCCGTGGACATTTTGGTTGCTTCCATAGATTAGCTGTTGTAAATAATGCTTCCATAGATTAGCTATTGTAAATAATGCTGCAGTGAACGTAGAGGTACATCTCTTTTTGAGTTAGAATTTGTTTTCGTCAGATAAGTATCTGGACCTGCATTTGCTGGATCCTATGGTAGTTCTGTTGGTAGTTTTTTGAGGAACCCCCATATTGTTTCCACAGTGGCTGTGCCAGTTTACATTCCCACCAACAGGGCACCAGTTCCCTTTTCCTTGCATTTTTGCCAGTACATGTTATTGCTTGTCTTGATGATCTCCATACCAGCAGGTGTGAGATGATATCTCGCTGTGGTCTTGATTTGCATTTTCTTAATATTTAATGATAATGAGCATCTTTTCATGTACTTGTTGTCCATCTGTTTGTCTTCTTTGGAAAAATGTCTGTTCAGATCTTCTGCCCGTTTTTCATTGGGTTGTTTTTTTTTTGCCATTGAGTTGTATGTATGCTTTATATATTTTCGATGTTAAGCCCTTATCAGATACATGATTTGCAAATATTTTTTTTAATCAGTAAGTTGCTTTTTTCATTTTGCTGCTGGTTTCCTTTCTTGTGCAGAAACTTTTTAGTGTCACATAGTCCCACTTGTTCATTCTTGCTTTTGTTGGCTTTTGTTTTGGTGTCAGATTCTAAAAATCATCACCAAGACCTATGTCAAGGAGGTTACTGCCTATGTTTTCTTCTAGGAGTTTTATGGTTTCAGGTCTTAACATTCAAATCTCTAATCCATTTTAAAGTTTTTGTGTTAATTTTTTGTATACACTGTAATTTTTGTGTATACTGTAAAGCAGTGGTCCAGTTTCGGGTTTTTTTGCATGTAGCTGTCCAGTTTTCCCAACACCATTTGTTCAAGTGACTGTCCTTTCTCCATTGTATGTTCGTGGCTCCTTTGTCATAAATTAATTGACTGTATACGCTTGGGTTTATTTCTCGGCTCTCTGTTCCATTGATCCATGTATCTGTTTTTTATGCCAGTATCATACTGTTTTGATTCCTATAGCTTTGTAATATAATTTTAAGTCAGGGAGCATGAGACCTCCAACTTTGTTCTTTCTCAAGATTGCTTTGGTTACTCGGGATCTTTTGTGGTTCTATAGAAATTTTAGGATTGTTTGTTGTATTTCTGTGAAAAATGCCATTGGAATTTTGATAGGGATTGTGTTGGATCTGTAGAAAGCTTTCGGTAGTATGGACATCTTAACAATATTGACTCTTCCAGTCTGTGAGCATGGAATATCTTTCCATTTATTTGTGTTCTCTTCAACTTGTTTTTTTAACGTCTTGTAGTTTTCCATATACAGGTCTCTCACCCCCTTGGGTTAATGTATTCCTGGGTATTTTATTCTTCTTGATGCAGTTGTATGAATGGGATTATTTTTTTAATTTCTCTGATAGTTCAGTATTAGCTTATAGAAACACAAAAGACTTCTGTGTGTTGATTTTGTATCCCTCAACTCTACTGAATTCATTGATTAGGGCCTGACAGTTTTTGATGGAGTCTTTAGGGTTTTCTGTATACGGTATGCCATCTGCAAATAGTGGTGGTTTTACTTCTTCCTTTCCAATTTGGATGCCTTTTATTTTTTTTTTAATTGCTGGATTGCTTTGGCTGGGGCTTCCAATACTCTGTTGAATAAAAGTGGCAAGGGTGGGGAATCCTTGTCTTGTTCCTGATCTTAGAGGAAAAGCTTTGAGCTTTTCACCGTTGAGTATGATGTTAGCTGTGGGTTTGTCATATGTAGCCTTTATTATGTTGAAATATGTTCCCTCTGTACCCACTTTGTTGAAAGTTTTTATTATCAATGGGTGTTGAATTTTGTCAAATGCTTTTTCTATATCTACTGAGACGATCATAAGATTTTTATCCTTTATTGGTGTATCACATTGGCTGATCTGTGGATGTTGAATTCACATTGCATTCCTGGAGTAAATCCCACTTGATGATGGTGTATGATCCTTCTAAATGTATTGTCGAATTCAGTGCCCTAATATTTTGTTGAGGATTTTTGTACTGTGTTCATCAGGCGTGTTGGCCTGTAATTTTCTTTTCTTGTGGCACCCTTGTCTGGTTTTGGTATCAGGGTAATTTTGGCTTTATAAATGAGTTTGGAAGAATTCCATCCTTTTCTATTTTTTTGAGTGGGTTTTTTTTTTTTTTGAGTGATATTTGAGTCTGAAAATCTTTGGGTTACATTTTCTCCATTTCCCCATTCGCCTTGACATCCCCTGTCTGCCTACAGGTGTCCTTGGTGCTATCAGCTCTGCAGGCTGGGAACAAGGGGACCCAGGCATGCATCACAGCCGCCACTGCAGTGTCTGGGATTATAGCCGACCTGGACACCACCATCATGTTTGCCACCGCGGGGACGCTGAATGCAGAGAACAATGAGACCTTTGCAGACCACAGGTATGGGGGTGGAGGTCACCCTGGGGGCTCCTGCATGGGGAGAGATTTAGCCCGGCCTGAGGGACTTGGGAGACTCTGCCCAGGAGCCAGAAATGCGGTTACGCATTTTGATTTCAATAAGATGCTCAAGGGGAGAAAGTGAACCACATAATCAAAACAAGCCCTATTTGCCAACTGTAAACACATAGTCATGTTCCAGCTTTGTGCCTTTGGCAGCCTCAATCCAGCCTGCTCTGGCAGAGGACAGCTTTTTGATCTTCTACTTTCCAAGCCAGAGAGATGTGCCTCTGATTTGCTCCCAGCCCCAGCGGGAGTGGGAGTGGCCAGGACAGGCCCATTTAGCTGTGACATAAAGGAGAGTGGGGCTCTGAGCCTGCTGTCTGTCCCACGCTGGCTCCTCAGGCCCTGCTCCTGGAGGCTGGTGCTGGGGTCTCCATCTGCCACTGGAGAGCCCTCCCCCATAGCCTTGCCACATGCCCAGTACCTTTCTTCCTGTCTCTTTAGTCCCGGAGATTACCAATGCTGTCACCCACTCCAGGATGCAGCCCTTTGGGTTCTGATGACCTTGCTGCTCCCCTTAGCTGTGAAGTATTTAGGGGGAACCAAGGAAAGAAGCTGACCTCTCACTGAGCTACAGGGTTGGGTGCAGAGGGCCAAACTGGTGGGCCTGAATCTTTCACTGAAGTTTACAATTAATTGACTCCATGGATACCGGGCTGACTCACCTCTTCCCCCTCTTATGTTTTCCTACATAAGACAGTAAGCACCCCGATAAGGAAGGGGAAATCCATCGTCTCTGTTCTTTAAAGCCCTTTAACAAAAAATTCCTTAGGAAGGGTTTCTTTGCTTCCTAACTACCAGTAGCCAAGCTCTGCCCTTTGTCCCTCTCCCCGCTTCCTCAGGGAGAACATTCTGAAGACAGCCAAGGCCTTGGTGGAAGACACGAAGCTGCTGGTGTCGGGGGCTGCATCCACACCAGACAAGCTGGCCCAGGCAGCGCAGTCGTCGGCAGCCACCATCACCCAGCTCGCTGAGGTGGTCAAGCTGGGGGCCGCCAGCCTGGGCTCTGACGACCCTGAGACACAGGTACCAGTGGTGGGGGTGGGGGTGCGTCCGCAGTTTAGGGTTTGGCAGGAGAGTGGCGCAGACGGTGGCAGCTCTGGGCATAGAGATGACTGGTGAACAATTGAGCACAGTGAGCATTTGGATATAAGAGCGAGGGAGCAGGCCAGGAGAGACTCTACGTCACAGGCGAGATCAGCGAGTGGACGGTGGCTCCCTGGAGGGAGAGCGGGCTTGGGTGGGAGGTGAGTTCAGGTGAGTTCGGTGCCGGAGGGCCCGCAGGTAGAACTAGAGAGGGGGCATAAGCCCGCACGGGGATGGGGGCATGGATTCACGGGTTGTTGCCGTACAGATGGTGACTGCAACCACAGGAGAGGAAGAGCATGGGGCGAGAGGAAAAGGGGGATTCAAGGCAGAGCTGAGGAGGCCACCCTTCAAGACCAGAGTAAGGAGAAAGAGATGCCTAGGGAGATGGAGAAGCAACAGCAACGGGTGGGAGGAAAGCCAGGGCTCCTGATATTGGGGGCGTGTTTCAGCCCTCCAGACACAGCTGAGTTGTCAGGAAAAGGAGGGTCTGAGAGCTGGCCACTGGTCATGGTCCCAGTACCATGGAGGCCAGTGGCCACCCCAGCAGGGGCTCTTGGTGGGGCGTGGCCAGGTGAGGGTAAAGAGAGGAGGCCGGCGTGCAGAGACAGCACTTCAGAGGAGGAGGGGAGAGAGTAGCTGGGGTTGGGCTAGGGCTCTGTGCTGCTGTAACTCTGCTTTGGATTTAACCATGTCACCGATGTTACCTGCCTGCTCCTTCGTCCTCAGCCTGGACCCCCAGCTCCTCGGGGATAGCACCCACAGTTGTGGATCTTTGGAAGCTAAGCACCCAGCACAGCACAGTGGATGTTCCACAAATATGTACTGAACGTAGAGCCAGCCAGGGCCACCAGTAACAGACTCTCCCCATTCCCAAGGGCAGAACCTAAAACCCATCTGCTCTGCCTATCCCAGGACCGTCAGATGGCACACACCTCAGTTTTTATTGCTTAAACCACACTCCATTAACTCGTCTTTTTGGCCCATGGGGACAAAACTGGATAGGAAGCTGCCTACCATCCAGTGCCAGGCTGACGACAGTTACTGTTGTGGTTCACACAAGGCCACCAGCTTTGCTCCCGTGTGGCCATGACCCTCCTCTGCCCGACATCCTCCAGTGGAGCAGAGCTCCATGAGGAAACGTTCCACGTGTGGCCATTTTACTCCTGCTGCCCGATTTCTCTCTGATAACATCCAAGCTCAGATTGGCTGCCCTCTGGAATTCGAAGCATTCACACAAATCCCTGTCTGTGGTATTGTTCTTACCCCCATGGAGGAAGGCAAAGCTTGAAAACGCTCAGTGGGGTTGGAATCCACTCTCTCTGAGCCTGGCTCCCCTTGAGGAAAAGTGAACAGGCCGGGGAGGGTTTAAATCTTTGAACACAGAGAAGTGTATCAAATTGTTTAGAGTCTTGACGCCCAGATGGTCTAGATGTCCACTGGAGCTTCTACTGAGACTTCTAGTGGAAAATATCCCCTCACAAAAATGTGCCTACTTGCCAGTCAGTTCCTAGTGACCAGGGACGGGACCACGCACACTGGGTGTTGACAGCAACCTTTGCTTGCTGTCCCTTGCTCTCCACTCACTGCTGCGATGGCCGGAAGCAGACAGCTTACCTGTCAGCCCTTCCTCAGGAGCCCCGTCACGCCCTGACCTGCCCTGTGGTTTCAGAGGTTCCATGCACCCTGGGGGTGAGAAGGCACAGGACAGAGCTGAAGAGAGTGGGAGAGGCAGAGGCGAAGTGTCACTGTGCTCTTAGCCGTCGGGGACACGAGTTTCTGATGGGTTTTCATGTACGTTATGCGGTCACCCTCGCAGCCCTGCCGTGAGATAGGGCTGGTGCTGCTAACGCCATTTGTACGTGAGGAGCCAGAGCCCTAGAGTGTAAGCGAGTGTGAAGGTTAAGACCATGACTCTTGGGATCAACGCTGACTAGCGTGTGAATCCCAGGCCCTGGGTGTGTGGACAGGAGCATCGTAGTTACCACTTGGAATGGCAGTGGCGAGGATGAAGGAAGTTCATGGGTGGCATGCGTGGCTCAGCACCTGGAACACTGCGCTCAGTAAAGGGAAACTGTTGCTGTTACCAAAGTAGGAGTTAAGAAGACTTAAATGTAAGGCAGGTCTTGTCATGTCATCCCGAAGTATGGCTGGGGCTTCGGACCCCAGGTCCAGCACCTGTAAAGATGGCCTGTGGTCTCTGCTCAATGACAAAAGTGGAGATACCGTATTCTTTCCAATGTTCTTAGGGTGTGTACCTGTCCATTTGGTCATTCCATGAGTATTTTCCTGAGTGCCTGTAACGTGCCAGACCCTGTTCTGAGTGCAAAACACAACAGGCGGAAGTGCAGGCTGGCCCTCCTCAAGCTTACCTCCACTTCGGGGAGGAAGACCGTAATTCCACATACTGATAAGTGCTATAAAGAAAACAGGACACGATGATGGAATTTCAGGTTGGGGGTGGTCGGGAAAGGTGTCTGAGGGCCTGACATGTGAGCTGAGACCTGACTGATGAGAAGAGCCGGGTTCCAGGCAGAGAGAGGAACAAGAGCAGAGGCCCTGAAGTAGGAATGAGTGGGATTTGCCTTGGGGAAGAAAGGCAGACCCATCTGCCTGTCGCATGTTAAGTAGGTCACAGAATCCTAGGAACCAAAGCCGGAGATGCTGGCAGGCTGCTGCAGAGGCCTTGCAGGCCAGGGTGTGAGGCTAGCATTTGGTTCTCCATGGTTTTGGTTACCAGTTCAGGGTGTCCGTGAGTGGTGTTGGCTCTCAGGGGTCTGCTTCGCTGCCTGCATCCTTTCCTAGGTGACTTGTCATCAGAGCTGCCAGCCAGGAGGTGTTTGAACATGCTGAGCATACATGGGGTCTGTATTCTGGCTCAGCGTCAGTGTCCGTTGGGGAGACTCCTGCATCAGCATCTTCAGGGGTGGCTCCTGGAGAATCTGCCTTGCTGTGGGCTTGAGAGCTGCAGAGATAGAGACCTGGCCCCCGGGCTGTGCTCTTGGTGAGACCAGGAGATGACGGCTGGGGCTACTCACCTGGGCTCTCTGCTTTCTTTCAGGTGGTGTTGATCAATGCCATCAAAGATGTGGCCAAGGCCCTTTCAGATCTGATCGGCGCTACCAAGGGAGCTGCCAGCAAGCCTGCTGATGACCCCTCCATGTACCAGCTCAAGGGGGCCGCCAAGGTAGAGTGGGGCCCCAAGTCAGGGGCAGGCGTGGAGGGGGAGTTGTATAGTGAGAGAAACAAGAATAATGGGAGCGTATGCGTCTGAGCTCCTTCCTCACTTCACAGTGGTTTTGCTCATGGCATCAGATCTGGAACTAAAAGGAGCGGGAAGTGGACCTCAGTGTGCTCCTCACTTTCTCTCGGCCTCTCCTTCCTATGCAGGTGATGGTGACCAATGTCACCTCCCTCCTCAAGACTGTAAAGGCGGTGGAGGACGAGGCCACCCGGGGCACACGGGCGCTTGAGGCCACAATCGAGTACATGAAACAGGAGCTCACGGTAAGGAGCCAGCAGTCACCTCCCTCGGGCACCCCTGTGCAAGAACTGACCCCAAAACACTTCTCTGAGATCTGTAGCAGAAAGAGGTTTTACCTAGAGTGCCGGAGCTAGGGAGGCCCGCTCACCTGCCTGCTGGTAGCTTTGTATCCTTGAGGCCCTGTGCATAACTGACCATGTCAGAGTTTGGCTACGATTGATTTGTAATTAAGAAATTAATTAAAATTGGGGCTCCTGGGTGGCTCAGTCATTAAGCGTCTGCCTTCGGCTCAGATCATGAGTCCTGGGATCGAGTCCTGGGATCGAGCCCTGCATCGGGCTCCCTGCTCGGCGGGAAGCCTGCTTCTCCCTCTCCCACTCCCCCTGCTTGTGTTCCCTCTCTCACTGTGTCTCTCTCTGTCAAATAAATAAAATCTTTAAAAAAAAAAAAGAAATTAATTAAAATGTATCATGTAGGACTATTCAGGTTTAATTCCACTAAAATCGGAGCATGAAATAAAAGCATTACAGAAGATTCCTGGCAAAGGGAAAACTCCATGTCGCTGTTTGCTTTCACCTTGAACTTAAATGGTGCGTCTGCAGCACAGAGCCACACACAGCACCTCTTGATTCCCATTGTTTGTCAGCAACAGCTCCCATTGCTGCACGCATACAGATTCTGGTGTTTGAGGTTCCCTAGTAGAGAAACCTGGATGCCTTTACCTGAGACACTTCCCTTTAAAATTCAGCGTCCTTCTGTTGGCAATCCTGGGATCTCAGAGAGATTGCCCACGCGTTCTTTCTTGCCTTATTCCAGCGTTGCAGAGTGAGGGTGTCCTGGTGTCCCTGTGATCTGGATACTGTCCGTTCTTGTGATCCCATGATGGTTATGGATTGACTCATCCTAATCCCTAGAAATAGAAATATGCTGAAAATGAGTGGTTTCAAACAAAGGTTTCTTTCTCAGAGGAGGTCTGATCATAGATTCAAGTTCTCTTTTGGGGCGGGGTGTGGGGGGTCCTGCCTTTGCTGCCGGTTATTTTTTTTTTTTTAAGATTTTATTTATTTATTTGAGAGAGAGAATGAGAGAGAGAGAGCACGAGAGGGAAGAGGGTCAGAGGGAGAAGCAGACTCCCCGCTGAGCAGGGAGCCCGATGTGGGACTTGATCCCGGAACTCCGGGATCGTGACCGGAGCCGAAGGCAGTCGCTTAACCAACTGAGCCACCGGGCGCCCGCTGCCGGTTATTCTGCATCTATAGAGGGTCACCTAGGAAGGCTGAAAGCCCCTGTGGATCAGCAATAGAAACCAGCAGTTCTTTTGGGGTTTGGTGATGGAGCCTTGGGTTCTCTTGTCCTGTTTTTAATGAAACCAGTCTTGGTCGGCATTATACTTGGTTCTCACACAAAGAAGAAACTAAAAATCGTAGGCGGTGTCTTTAAGCACTGCTGCCTGACGCTTACCTGCCTACATTGGCTAGATGTTTCCTATCGAAAGTCTGGCCCCACATTCTGGGAGGCGTGGCTGGGGCTAGTGGTAACAGTAGAGGAGATTGGAAATTCAGAGCTCTCCTGGAAAGTTACACATGGTCAACCTCCGTATACCAGTGTGGTCCGGCATTGACTTGGGTTGTGTGTTTCTGTGGACATAGGAAGTTTCCAAAGGAACATGTGCCACGTGGGCCACATTATTGTGAAGGGCTCCATACACGTGGCATCCGTTCCACTTTAGCATTCAGCTTAATTGTAGCTGCCCATTTCTAGAGGGGTGGTCATGTTTGATGCTTCTTAACCCATGGCAGGGATGCTGGCTTGGGTTCTCCCCTTTGCCCCAGGAGAAACTACCTGACTGAAAGGTGGTTGCTTAGGGCTGAAGACAGAGTGGCCGCAACTGGTCCAGGAGTCCTCCTTTTGGGGGGACAGGTGCACATTGAACATACAGCCCTGGCACCAGTCACTCATGTTAGAGAGACAAGACAGATGGGCTTGAAGCAGAAATGGCTGCCTTGATTGACAGGTGGAATTTTAAAGTGGAATATTCACTTACCATGGTTAATTTATTTCAGCTTCTCTAGAGAGGGGGGTGTGTGTGTGTGTGTGTGTGTGTGTGTGTGTGTGTGTGTGTGTGTGTAGTTTTAAATAATTCACAGTGTCACTGTGGCGCATTCGACATGAACGCCTCCACACAATTATGCAGTTATATTTGTAAGACAGACTAAGAATAGAAGAAACCGAACGCTCCATTTCCCCCAGCCCCACACCCTCTTAAAGAAGAGAGAGAGGTGAGTCCACAGGGATGTATCCAGGGTCCCTCCTGTGCAGGAACTGGCATCAGAACTGCGGAGTTTCTCGGAGCTGCTGAAGCACTGGTGGGGAGGGTCAGGAACGGGGGAGGCACATGACCACCTGCCCCAGGAGAGTTTACAAATACCCGGTGTCGCTCTGTGCAGACGAACGCGTTAATGCCGTAGACGTGTCTCCCTCACCTTCACCATCTTGTGACCATGAATCCTTGAGTACAGGTGTGCAAGGCTGATCTGTGCTAGAATCTTGAAAGCAAGAATAATATTACTCAGATTAAATCTCTGATTTCCTGCCATTTGACGGTTTCTTCCTGTGGCTGGCTCCATTCTCAGACAGTGAGCAGTAGCCCGATCAGAGGAGAGAAAGTTATTTTTGTCCTCCTTTTTTTGGTTTTTGTTATTTTTTTTTTCATCTGTTGTATTTCTTAACTTCCAGGTGTTCCAGTCCAAAGAGGTACCTGAAAAGACCTCATCACCTGAAGAATCGATAAGGATGACGAAAGGCATCACCATGGCGACAGCCAAAGCCGTGGCCGCAGGGAACTCATGCAGACAGGAGGACGTGGTCGCCACCGCCAACCTGAGCCGGAAAGCCGTGTCCGATATGCTGACGGCTTGTAAGGTAAAGGCCTTGGCGTTGTTTTGGGCAGATTGGTAATGCTCGGTCATGACTGAGTTTTGGGGTTAGCCTGGAGAAAGGGAGGGGCCGGCCACGTGGAGAAGGGAGCAGCTCGGTACCTTACGCTCGGCAAGGAGACGTGTGCTGGAGGTATGCACACATCCGCCCCGGGTGGGGCGGGGGGATGGCTCTCGAGGGTAGTTTTAGGTTTGAGAGGGGATGGCGCTGGTCGGTTGACTATCCCTCCCATGTTTCCTCTTCCTGAGTAGGCAGGATGCTTTCTTAGCGAGGGCGTAGGGGAGGCCACTCGGACAGAGGCAGAGGGCCTGTGGCATTTTGTTCCTGGCCCTCTGAATGAAAATTGCATCCCGCTTCTGCCTGCCCCCTTTCCTGCCTCCGTAGGTCGGCATTCTGTGCTAGGAGGGGTGCTGCCGTAACTGGGTGAGGACGTGAGTCGGAGGAACAGAACAGGACCTCGGGAAACTGCCTTTCTCTTTGTGCCCAGACGTTTTGCAGAAACTCCTCTGATCCTAGGCTAGACAAGCGGGGTGGCTGCCCTGAGCCCATCCTTGGTGAGGGAGCTGGTGGGACCTGAGTTTTACCAGCTTTGTTTCTTTATCTCTCAAGAAAGTGAGCCGTAAGAGCCCCCCACCCCAGACCTTCACCCTTCTGGGCACAGCCATGTCCCAGGGACTCTGGCTTCCGCTCAGGGATGCATTGATAACCCCCGACCATGGTGAGCAGGTGGGGACAGGTCACAGAAGTTACAGAAGCAGCTGTGGCAGCCTGGGGTCTGAGGAGACGGGGCTATTCTTTGCGGTCAAGTCAGTTGGGTGGGAGAGCTCGTGCAAGGTCCAACTGATGGCCTCTCAGGGGATCTTCAGGGCGAGTAGGATGTGTTCGAGGTAACTGGGTAGTGGGAGGGTGAGGCAGCCGGCCCGAAGGGATGGGTGTGCGAGGGCAGCACACAGGGGGCTGGGGAAAGTGGGAGAGGGTGGCGAGGTGGGAGGGACGCTTTCATGGGGGGCCGCGTGTGCTGGGCCAGGGAGTTTAGACCCTCCTGAGGCCACGGGTATTTGCAATTAGGATTGCAGTTGGGATCTGCCCTGTCAGAAGTGACAATTCCCAGAGGGGTTACCGCCTCCGTCAGAGAATAATACTTACCTAGCAGGATAGGCCTGAATGCCACCACGGTGTGCATGCAGGGCGCCTCACCGTTGCGGAAGGCTCTCCTGCAGATTCTGTCTTTTGATCCTGGATGGGAAGGGCAAGGGGAGTGATCCCAATTTGATGGATGATGAAACAGGCTTGGCGAGATTATGTGGCATGACCGTGGTCACACAGCTCTTTACTCTCAGAACTAGAACTGAAACCAGGTCCTCTGGTTCCATGGCCTGTCTCTTTCTGCTGCCCACGGCCTCCCAGCCATTAATGCTTAAGGACACTGAGGTTGATGAGTGACTGGTGCTTTGTCTCCATGTTACAGACATGAGATGAAAAGGGGAAATTAAACGGATTAAGGTGAGAATGGAAGGTAGCTCAGATTTACAAGTCTGTTTGTAATACACATAGCCCTGTTCTCAGGGGAGGAGGGCAAGGATCCAAGTACAGGCGCCATTTGCCCAGCGTCTGCTCCTCTCTGTTGTCCTGCCCCCAGATCAGGCCATCCTGACTTGGCAGGACAAAATAACAGCCAGAGCTTCATACCTCAAAGCCAGACTTGGATGACAAGAGTCCCAGTGCTGAGCCCTGAGACTCCCGTTAGGATAGGACTTACTCAGCCGACTTACTGACATTGGCATTTCCTTCGGTCCCCTTCCTTTTGCAGAGAGGAAATGAGGCAGCTTTCCAGAAAGGGCATGCAGTAAGGAATATATAGAAAACCAGGGGTACTGAGTGGTGGATCGAAAAAAAACCCTTAGATCCAGGCAGAGGGCCAAGTTGCCCTATTGGAGCACTGCCTTTGGGGCTGCGCAGGGTGGCTAGGCCAAAAATGAAAGTGCAGTAAGTTACCTACTGGCTCATTTTCTCAGAAAGAGAGGATTACACTAATTCCTCAGGTGGAGAAAGGGCTTCCCTACACCCTAAAGTTAATTCTCCCGTTTCTTGTCTTACTTTCTTGTGCCTATGTGTGTCTGCATTAGATACAATACAATCAACTGTTACAACTAAGGTCATCTGGCTGTTGCTACGTTGGGATGAGTTATTAGAACAGAGTCCTTAATGACCACTAATACTCTGAATGAGTATAATCTTACCCTATTATCAGATATTTAGGTTGTCTGCATTTCTTATCTGTACTTTAAACTCGACTGCCGTGAACATCTTTGGGCATACCTGTTTTTTCTGTGCCTTGGATAATTTCCTTAGGCAGGACTCCCAGGAGTAGAATTAGTCAGATGGTAGGACATTTTGATTCTTGCCAGATGGCTCTCCCAAAGAGTTCTGCGAAGTTAAAGCCGCCATCGGTGGGCAAGAGCGCCCACCCTCAGTCCCCACACAAGTCTAAATGGGGGTCTTCCGTGCTGCCCACTAGAAGTGACATTTGGTAGCATCATAGCCCGTGTCTCCCCCCAGTCATGGGCTCCATCCTCACGCTTGGAGACACAGGGGAGCAAGGACGAGTAAAACACGGTCGTGGTCATAGGCGTGGCCCATCAGTCCTCAGATGGGCAACACTGAGCTCAGAAAGGATAGATGCTGGCCACTCAGAGTATCCCCACCCCTTCTGGGGTGTGTTGGGGGAGCAGGTGAGAGGAGAGCCCCACAGGGGTTCCCACCAGCACTCTTCAATCCTCTTGAGTGGAACAGACAGGAAGGGCTAGTCACTAATCCCCTCCACTTTGACTTTTTATCCTAATGTGTGATTCATATATGTGCTGATTTGTAATTTATTTGCAGTTTTCTCTTTTATATGTTCTGGTAAGCCCCAGGTTCTTTCCGAAGAAAGGCTGGGAAGGGTTGCCCGATTTAGCAAATAAAAAATAGGGTTTCTCAAACTTATATTAAAAATTTTGTATTTATTAAAAATTCAGGTGTAACTGGGTTAACTGTAATTAATCTGGTAACCCTGTGAATAGGTGTGCCACCCTATATATCAGGAATGAATGAAACTGACAGGTCACAAGTGAAAAAAAAAAAAAAAAACACAGGATGCTATATTAACCATATGTCCTTGTTTGGTTATCTCACCGTGTATAATGTGAGGTGAGTTAGTTCTGGCCCCTCTGAGGGCAGTGGGGAGCTTACTGTCTAAAGTTTCCCAGGAGCCAGAGGGCCCCCGGTGGGTGACATTGTGAGGGCAGGTCAGGCCACAGAGTGAGGACCTGAGTGTGATCAGCCTGTGGACAGAGAGGGGCTTCAGGACCCCTCAGGCTGCTGGAGAAAGGCAGGCAGACCCCGAACAGTAGATCTCCTGCTGTGAGCCTTAATCATGAATCTTCCCTGGACTTTTTAGTGCATGTGGAATTTCTTACATTTCAGTAAAAGGGGGCAGGGAGAAAGGAAGAAAAGGGGACCTGATTCCTGTGCTTTTGTCTGGCTCCAGGGCACTAAAAAAGGCAAGTTAAAACCATTGAGAACTTACTGTGGAGGAGAACACGGAGGAGGGCTACCTTCTCTATCCAGGGAGTCGGGAAAGGTTTCTCAGGGAGGTCACTGAGGGTGGAGGCAGAGGGAATTCTAGAATCGAGGTCTCCTACCTATGGGTGCAGGGCTGCTTTGTGCTACTGGGCGCTTGACCCCCCTCACCCCTTGGCCCATTCACCACCTGGCTCTTCCTGTCTTAAGATGTCAATGTTCCTTTCTCTCTCCAGCAAGCATCCTTCCACCCTGATGTCAGTGAGGAGGTGCGCACCAGAGCCTTGCGGTACGGGACAGAGTGCACCCTCGGCTACCTGGACCTTCTCGAGCACGTCTTGGTGGTGAGGAGGGGCATCGGCCGGGCCAGGGCTGGAGAGGAGCTACGTCAGATGCAGACCATGCTTTCCTTGGGAAAATACCTCATAGAGCATTGTGCAGGCTCCCCTTATGAGTCTGGGGCTGGACCGTGCTGGAAAGTGTCCAGCATCGCACTACTCCAGCACACCAAGATAAAAGAAGGGTCTAGAAGAAGTTGTAGTTAGCATCCAGGAGAGCCAGGCTCTCTTTACACCAAAGAGGCAAGAATAGCATGCAAGAGGGTGGGACAGGCAAAGCCACCAAAGAAACAGTATTGGCAGGTCCTGTTAGGAAGAGCCCAGTCCATCCTTCAAGGACAGGGAAGTCTCCAGAAGGAGCCACACTAGGCTCCATGACAAGTTAAGGAAAAACATCACAGTGCTGCAGGTGACCTACCAGCCTCTTGTGACTTCCTCCAGTCCTTGAATGAATACCTTAGGCCACACTAAGAATGCTTTCCTTCCTCTGACGTCTGGAAATGCCCACATGGAGCTGGGAAGGAAGGCTGTTAGGGAGGATACCAGTGGGGGGTGAGTGGTCATGGCTAGGGGCACTGTCCACCCAAGAACCTCAGGCTTGCACTGACAATCCCAGTTCTTAGGGTGGCTTGGCTCCCTGCAGTCCTAAGGGCCAAACCGTGCACATCCGAAAAATATATTTGCTGTATGTCTATCCCTGTCAAGTCCCGGAAACTACATTTAGAACCATGGGAGGTCTGGGGCAAGCCCCAAGAGAATTTGTTCAGGAGTCAGAGACAACCCCAGAAGAGAATTGATGATGTCCCACATTCCATCACTGTTTGTTCTTCCCAAACCTATTAAAAAAAAAAAAAATCAACAGGCCACAGAGAACCATAAGCCTTTCATTTGTGGGGCACTGAAATTTTTCATTTTGTCCTTGCACTACCACATCAGGCTAGCAGGGCAAAGGAAGGATCCAGAGAAGTGTGACCCCTTGGTGGAGGTCACTCAGCTACTAAGACAGACCTGGGACCAAATCCCAATTCTTACTATCTCCAGCCCTGTGTTCATTCTAGCATTTCACTGCCACCTTAAAATTAAATTACCTTTGAAGGGAAGGAAAAATAAAATAGGACAAAAACAGAGAGGGAGGCAAACCATGAAAGACTCTTAACTATAGGAAATAACCTGAGGGTTGCTGGAGGGGAGGTGGATGGGGAGATGGGGTAACTGGGTGATGGACTTTAAGGAGGGCACTTGATGTGATGAGCCCTGGGTGTTGTATGCAACTGATGAATCACTGAATTTTCCCCTTAAACTATAATAAGACACTATATGTTAACTAAATTGAATTTAAATTAAAAAAAATTTTTTAAATTAAATTACCTTCTGATATGAAGCATTTTAGGTCTCCTAGGGAGCAGTACTTTTATTCTTCACCCAGATTAAGCATGGTCCATGTGAAAGTGTATCTTTTGTGAGAGGAGGCAGTCTGTGGTTTACTAACACTGAGTTCCCAAGCCTGAACTCTTGTGAACAGAAAGCAGTGTATTGCATGAGAACCTGGAAACGAACGTCTTAGCTGGTCAGTGTTCACAGGCATGAGCCTCTCCAGCCAAACCCTCTTTCTGTGTTAGAACATAGTTCAAGTGTTCAGTCTGTGAGCATGCTTAGCAGGAAAATGAAGCCAGCAAGGCCTCCAAAAGGTGGTTTTTCTTTCTTGGTGGGACAGTAGTCTTAGTCACTTAGAATAGAACCTTGTTCTATCTGAAAATTAGAGATTACAGCAGAAACAGTGGTAGGCTTAGGTTTAGAAGCTTTGTGTCCAGATCCCAACTCTGCCACATAAGTAGCCACGTGGCTACTGTCTGATCCGGACTTGAGTTTCCTCAGATGTTAAACAGTGTAAGGAATCAGTGAGGGTGTCAGGAGCCCCGGGCTCTGTGGCTGCACTCAACTTGCTGCACACACTTCATTGAAATCTGCCCACACGATGCACATTTCCCGTCTTGCTTTCTGTCTCTCGCCCTTTTTTCTTATTCGTTTGTTGGAAGGGAAGTGATACTGGGATTTTCTTATTCATTCAAAGGAGGGGTCCTCATTTTACCCCTTTCCCCCACCTCCATTTCTTGGGTGAACAGTATTTCTTCCAGCTCCTGTGTCTGGATCTGTGCAGGATTGCTAACTTACCCGGCGCCTGTAGGTCCAGGCCCTGCCCATGCAGCCCTCAGGATGGTGCTGTCCACGTTGGCTCTTGATGAGCCATTTAACAGGAGTGTCTCCGCAGAGGGGTCACCTCCAGCTGTGTATCTGGCAAACCCACAAACCTGGATAAAAAGGAGGCAACAGCCATTAGGGTGTTCAGTGGAGTGAAGATCTTTCATTTCACTCTCCAGCAACAAGAAAACTTCTATCTGGGAGAGGAGTTCTGCCCTCATGAGGAGGGTCAAGGGCCAGTGTTCGAGAAGTTTCCCCAGCGGGGAAGAAAAGTGGAATCCTCACGGGGTCCTCTCCCCAACCTCAGGCCGACTCTAGGCCCTTTGCCGCTATCTGGGAACCAGGTGCCACATCCACCAAAGCATTTCCTCTCCTCCGACCTCTCCTCTCCATGCCCACCTTGTTTGGGCGAGCAAAAGACAGGGCCCCAGGGTGGGTGGGTAGGTGGTTGGCCTCTTTGCCCAAGAAGAGGCCAAGGGATCCAGCGCCTCCATGAACATTAGGGAAGACGTAGGAGCCATTCCCAGTCCACACATTCAGAGACCCCAGCTTTATGGCCACTTAATTACTATGTCAGGCATCAGCCCTAAGGATCATCATCAGGTTTTTCTCCAACAGAAAGAAGGACACTCGCTGCATGGAAGCTCCACATCGCCTGTGATTGGGGAGGTTTAACTGCGGGGGCCAGAGGTTGGCAAGACGAGGAGCAACCACTCCCTTCTTTTTCTGGGCCTGCCAAGGGCAGTTGCACTTTGTAGCAGATGTGCTTCCCTGGTGGCTGCTCAAATTAGTTGATTGGTTTTCTGTTATGTATTTTTCCTTGTATTTATTAGAGAAACAGGACTTGTATTAAGCCTTATGTGTTATAAACTTGGATGGTGGATGTGTCTGTTAAAAGCCTGTCATCTGAGTTTTCTATACAATCATCATCATTGTGACCCCGGTAGAAAGAGAAATGTCCTGTTTCCCCATAGCTGTTTTGAGGTACATGGTGTGAAGGTAGCTAGAGCTAAAATGAAATCATGAATAGAAAGAGAAGCTCAATGGCACTGAAAATTTCACAAAACATGCAGGATTTGTCTCATCTTTTGCAAGGATGTTTTTGCCTCTTGATGACATGTGCTGATGGTTCTGACTTCCAGGGAAATACGAATGAATTAGCATCATACATTTACTTGTTCATATACTTATTTTTGTCTCTTTAAAAAAGCTAGTTGTACTCTTTGGAGGTTATTTTCTAAGAAAAATACAACAAGAAAGCAAGCCTTTCCAGGGGATTATCATAACTATAGGAAAAATACAAGTTCGTAACTGAAAATTGCAGAAGCCCTGTGATGGCATTCTTGCACCCGCGCTATGGACATTTTTGGTTTTCTTGGGCCTTCAGCTGAGAATAAGTTCATGTCTCACATTGTTAGCCCTAATTCTTCCTCCCAGGCAGACTGGGAAGAAATCTGGGCTAACATGAGGCCAAGAGTAAGGCCAAGTAAGGATTGTATGCCCAGGAGCCACAAGACTGCAAAGGCCGGTACTGGTGGAGAACCCAGCAAGAAATAGGGAAAACGGAGAGGCACAAACAGGGAAACTCACGTTCATTTCAGATACTGAGATGAACTATTTGAGGGTGATGAATAAAGAAGCAGTTAAACTAGTGATTTTCACACACACACACGTGCACGCCCCATCCCGTTCGCCTCTTCATTCTCTCATCTTCGTGGGAGGACCATGAGTAATAGGATGGCTACAGCATCTCCATTCTGCAAAGCAATTAAACCTAAATCCAAAGTGTAACGCGATATCTTAGGATAGTCCTCTTGGATCTCTTGTAAAGGTGACCTCTTGTTTTAATTGATCAAAGAGAGCTAGTAAGACTCCTGGAAGCTGAAGAAAGGCTAGATCGTTGTCCAGTTCTTACAAAAGGAGAAAGAGAAAAGGTAGAAACTAAGGCTTGGAGATGGTGTCCAACAATTTTACAGAAATAAATTGAGGTCACTTTCAGGCAGTACCAGGAGGTTCAGGGATCTTCTTTAGTGAGCTGCTTTTCTTAAATTTAGGCACATCAAAATGTGGGGGAAATTATGATGCTTTCGCTTTGTTCAGGTTAAATATCTTAGAGCCAAAGATTCTTTTTTGGCTGATTTGTATATTTCAGATTTTACTTTAGAAAAGGCTTAAAAATAGGGAACACCGTATCAATATCCATATGCCCACCATCGTTAATTAATTAACTTTGTTAATGTTTTGTCCTATTCGGTTCAGATCCTTATTTTTAAAAAATTTAGATATATCAATAATTTTGTATCAGTTATCAATCCCATTCTCCTTTTTTCTCTAGGCACAAATAACTATCATAATTTTAGCCTCCTTAGACCCAATGGAGCTGAAAGTCCATTTTCTGCCTCCCACTACCATCATCAAAGAAACAGCAGTGCACGTACACAGAAGTTCCTTAAGCTGTTAAGAGGGTCCCCAGAACCCAGTGCCCAGCCGGATCCTTTAGGAATTGAGAGACCAAATCAACAACCCCTGCTTGGGTAATCCTTTTCTTTGGAGAATCCAGTTAGCCATCAACAGATAATGGGATCCAATTTAGGCAGAGCCCTGTCCCTGCTGCCCAGGGAGCTGCTTTCTGAAGCTTTAGACATGCCCACTTGAGCAGTGTTGGCCTCCCGAGTTTGCCATTTGCTGGTTTGTCCTAGAGGATTTTGCAGGGTTAGGGGCAGCCACATTGCCTCTGCAGTAATCACACTTCAATATTGCTGCTCAACCACAATGTGAGATCTTTGACAGGCTTAAAATTACCCCTG